CCAAGTCATTTTTAAATAACAAGCAAGTGACTCATGATAAATGGATATTCAAAATGCAACTTGTTTGCAAACGAACAAGAATAAGAAATAATCAATTGAATGGGAGAGCCAAGCAGTTGACTGATTCAAGTAACTTGTATCGGCTGCACGAGTGAATGATGAGTACAAGGATAGTTGAAATCTTTGTGCAAATGAGCAAGTGAAGTTTATAAATTATGAACATTGAAGGATATTTGCAATCAGTTGCAAGTGAATATCAATGAAGAAAGTATCAGGAGACTAGCACTACCAAGTAAGGTGCAATGTAGTGTTGTTGAAGCAAGATGATTAATGCCATCCGTATATTACTAATGTCTCCTAATCATGAATCAAATAATAATTCAATACGCATTTAATAAGCATGCGAGAATTCGTAGTGAATAGAAGATCTTGAGGACAATCTGTTCGTAAGTGAAGTTTAGAATGAGAGGTATGATGATAAGTTCACAAGCAATAACATAAGGCGGCAGTTGCTATAAGAACTGGAAGAGACACAAGAAAGTACATCGAATCTAAAAAAATATATCCCATAAGAAAAATTCGTACGAGCTGTTGTAGAATACCTATCATGTTGTCCACAAGAAGAATACAAATTGAATGAAAGATCCTACGAGCTGTTGTAGGAGACCAGTTACATGTTAAATATACAGCCTACAAACAAAATGCAAGAGAATTGCAGTAAAAGAAAAGCACCTATAAATTGTAGAAAGGGACATGACAGTACTCTGCAATAAACTCCACCTAATGGCAGTTAATCACATCAATCATTTGCAAATGGAAGTAGATGATATGCAGCAAATCTTAATCTTTATAGAATGTTGTAGCATAAATAAGATCCATCAAATGTTCACCCCAGCACATGCACCATAGTTTGTATACACATAGGTACACTAAAAGGGGTAAAATCAGTTACACCACCCGCATGGGCCCCGGCGAGCGTGTTATTGGTACACACGTGACGTCTAGGGATGCTGCGTGGGTTGATAAGTGAATTCAAGTTCGAAACCGATCCTTCTATACGGGTCAATAGAAGTCGGCAGGGTTTGAACCAATAAACAAATATACGGTTGTGGCGACCGTTATATTTGTCTCAAAACATCCATATTAGGCCTTCAAGGCCTATAACAATGAGAATTCATTATCAAAGGGCATAAAGCCTACGAAACCCGATTCTCTGTCCACAACCAGACAGAGTCGACAGAGTTCAAGCTTTAAAATGAAAATGACCCCAAACACCCCGATGATGGCCGTGTTGAATGCTGATCTCAACCGGAGGGGTTCACAAATACTTTCAAATGCCACCTAAATACTCCAAAAAATCCAAAATCAATCCCAAAATCCAGATATTTAAATCTGAAATAAATCCATCAATTATTTAGAGCAAAATCCATCCACCCTCCGCAACAGTTTGCCGAGGTGGACAAATTTAAAATTATTTCAGCTCGCAAAGAGCCAAATGCCTAGTCGAAAATATCACTTGGATCCATTCTCAAACAATCTCCTGCCAGTAAGGACGTGGTACGTGTCCTCTGACCGGCGGTTAGCCGCCAAATGGCACCGCAGGATAAACGGTTACGACGACCCGGGGCCCTCTGAACCGAGTGGTTTTGCCGCCAAATGGCACCACGATATACCGGTTATGGTCAGTGCCGATACGCTCCTTATTGGCATCAAATCCTTGAGATATGAATCAATAGGATATGATCAATAGGGCACAAAGCCCTCTGTTAGCTAAGGTGGATTCAAATTTGTCCCCTTAGACAAACATTCAACCCCGGTCTACAAGGTCCCCTTGGACGAAGCAACCCATGGCTGCCGACAAGGATCCTTCTGTCAGGTTGGGTCGACTACCTCCTCTGACTAAGTAGACCAGGGATCATGATGGCCCGGGACGACAGAACCATGGGATCTTGATCGGGTCCATCATCCATTCCCCCACCATCCGCTTTAAGTGCTAGATGGTGCAATTCCTATTTTAAATATCAAACTTTTCAAATCTTTCCCAAATTCCCAAATCCAAACCCAAATTCCAAATTCTCAAATCCTCCAAATTTCGTAAATCCATTACTGCTACTATATGCCAGATACCACGTATTTTATACGTATCTGATTGACGACTAGCCTTAATCGAAAGTTCTCTCTCGTGATCGGGAGGGGTAATTAACTATAGGGGCTTGCGCCTATAGGAAACCAGAACTCAGATCATAAAGTCCTCACAAAAGAGGGCGAAATCTCTGGGTAGTGTCTTATCTACAATCCCATATGCCTTCCAAAATTTACCTCGGAACTTATCAGTTAAAACTCTCTCGCACAAAACAAAGAAAGAAATCGCGCGGCGGGGAGGCTGGGGCCGAATTTTCAGAGCCCACAGTGAGGCTAGGCCTCAAGGCATTTTGAGGCGTAAGCCTCAAAATCAAAAGATTGCGTAAACATAAAATGATAAATTTTTATATACTAATGAGTGAATAATATAAAACATAAAATAACATAAGATATGAAGTGAAATCAAAATATCTCAATAATAAGACAACATGAAATATAGTTCAACTCAAAATTCTATCTTTCCCAAATTCCAGTAATCTTTTCATTAATATATAATTCCAATTTCCAAAAATAAATAGCAATGACATATCACATAAGAACCCATAAGTCATCAGCACTGTCATCACTAACGGGTTCTTCATTTGAATTATCATTATGGTGAACTGCTCTCTCCCCTTCCTCCTCTCCTATAGAGTTCAATGTTGGGCATTTACTTCAAGATTTATGTAAGTTTTAATATATATAGCGTGAGACGTAAGCCTCATGCCAGTGAGGCAAGGCGGGCCTCAAGGCGGGTTTCAACCAAGTTGAGGCGCAAGCCTCATAAAAAAAACTCAATGCGTAAGCATCGAGGCATTTTTTACTGGAATTGCGCAAAGCAGGCCTCAAGGCGAGTCTCATATTGCGCAATTTTATACCATGTTCTGGGGTATGTTATAACTAGTGTTATGATAGAAATGGACCAAGAAAAGATGCTTGCTATTTTAAATAAATCATTCATAGGCACACAAAGTTTTCCACGGCTTAATGTCCTTGTATCAATGTTTTATTTAAAATTTTAGCTTTGTATTTGCTCCTTTGTCAGAAGTTTTTAAGGGAAGTAGATTCTTTTGGACGTTGTCAGTCTAATCTACTTTCGAAAAGCTTAAACATATTATGACCAATGTCTTAACCCTTGCCCTTCCTAATTTCAACCACATGTTGATGTTGATTGTGATGCTTTTAATGTAGGCATTGGTCTCGTGTTAAGTCAGAATGGATATCTAATTGCCCATTTTAGTGAAATCTTGAATGAGGTCCGACGCAAGTACTTCACTTATGATAAAGAATTTTATTTGTTCGTGCCTTAGAGTCGTTCTGTTATTCAATGAGTTCATTTTATATTTGGACCACGTAATCCTAAAATACCTTCACACTTAGAATAAATGTTAAGGAAGACAGTGTCATGTGGGTTGAGTTCTTTCATCTTTTCATTATATTTTAAAACAGAAGACTAATATCTATAACAAGGTTGCAGATACTCTAAGTTGAAGTTATACCCTTTTTACCATTAAGCCTAAAGTCATAGGTTTTGAAGCAATAAAAGATCTTTATCTTGGAGATTTAGATTTTGACAAGTAGAAGTTCTGTCAAATGGGATCCCATAAATTTTATCACATTCAAGATGGATATTTATTTTTTCATAATTGAATTTATATTCCTCATTATTCTTTGAGAGAAGCTATATTATTTCAATGTCGCTAAGGGGGATTAGAGGGACATTTTTTTCTTGATAAAACCACTGCGCTAATAGAGAATTTTTTGTTGGTCATTATTCAACATGACTTTGACCGATTCCTTAAAAGATGCTGAGTATGCCATATAGACAAAACTATGATTAAAAAAATAGGTTTATACACTCCCTTACCATACTTAAGTCACCCTGGGTAGATCATAGTGGACTTTTTGATAGGACTTAATTAGGTTTAACGGTAAATTAATAATTAGTCTCTTTTCAGTCATTTGACTTTTCTAATAAATATCTAAGTCTGTGTGGGGGGTGGGGGTGTTGTAGATTGGATTTCAGGTTAATCCAGAATTGTTGAGTTGACTGCGTTTTGTGGAAATCAAAGAATTCAGTCAAGTACCGAGGAAAGATGTGTTTGGCTAGCTTCTACGACAATGCTTGCTTGTTGTTTTGAACTTGGGAGTGACAGTTTTTCTTTCCTATCCAGTCATTGTTTGGAGTTTTTTGTCCACAATCTTTCAGCACCAAGCGGAATAGCCCTTGCATTTATAATTCTTTAATGGGTAGATGTGGTATGAATCAGGATATCAGTGGAGATTTTTTTGAATTATTTTCTGGATATTCTTTTAGTTGCTCTGGGTATTTTTATCCATTCGTATAGACTTGTTATCTTTCTATATTGTAATATTACTAGCCATGATTATTGTTTCAATTCTCTAACTTCCCGTGTCTTGCAATGATGTCTTCTTATTTCTTATAGGAGTTTTGTTTGTATATGCTACAAATTATTATTATTATTATTATTTTAATCATCTAATAATTGTAACTACATGGAAAACTGTAATTCATTTTGGATTCTGGCTCCAAGTACTGTAATTTATTGGGCTCATTTCCCTGTTATATTAAGGATAAACATTTTGTGGTTGTTAGTCCATGTTAGGGTTGCCATGTATTAATAACAATCAATTTTCAGGCAACATGGAGTAACTGCTAAGATAAGCTTTATGTTATTTATGAAAATAAATGATATAGCCCACTAATCTCACTTTGTTAACTTTTTTATTGTTTATTTGTACTTTGTTTTCTTGGGAGAACGATCTGTTTTGTAGCACTTGTTTCCTATTTGTTTAGCACCAAGTTTTCTTTTCTTCTTATGAAATTTTTATTTTTTTATTTTTTTATTTTTTTTCAGGTGATTGATGCTTATGCTTTGGTTGGAGATATTACTGGTTTTGCTGAGAAAATACAGAGTTTTTTTATGCAAGAGCTTCTTTCCGAAACTTACACTCTTTTGAAGGATATCGTAATTGAGGTAACTTTTAAGAAGTTACTAGGTGTGGTTATAAAATTCCTAGAAATATTTAAATGTATTCTTGTATATGTTTATATTAATAAACTGAGAAGTATAGTTGTATTTGACTTTCATGTGAAAAGAGGTTCACCTCTAATGTCCTAATGCAAATGAGTGCCATCAGGATTGCCATAATTCTCCTAATTTCCTCTCTTCTTTTGAGACAAACCCATTCACCTCTTATGCCCAATGAATGTTTATAAGTGGAGAACATTTAGAAGCCGTCTGGATGCTCGATTTAAATTGCATAATATCTAATTTGAATCTGTCACAACTTGGCCCGGATGCTCGATTTAACGAGGTGGGGATTAAAGAACTACTAAAAAAAATTCATAAATACTTAACATTTAGACGTCTTAAATTACCTGTTTTCATTAATGCGCCGTCTTCTGTAGACGAACTACTCTCTTTCTGTCATTTCGAAAACTTTGGAATTTTACCTGAAATCATTTATTTAGTGGAATGAGTTTACAAGTAAACTTAGTGGGTAACTGTTAAAATAATTAACATGAAAATAAAATATACATTACATATAACCTTTAATATACTTCTTATTCATTTCCCTTATCTTTATTTTATTGATTTCAGTCAATTATGCATATCATATTACAGTTCTTGATGATCTTTATAGAGCTTTAATATTTATTTCTTTTTCTCTTTTATTTGTACAGGAGCACCGTCTCAATGTACCGAAGGTACAATCATTTTCATTTTTCACTTATTTTTCCATAACCTTTTTTTATGTGCACAAGTATATTGCTTTTCCAGCTAGTACCATGTGGAAGTGAACTCATGTAGTTTACATGCATATCATTTTCCCTTTCATTTTCATTTTTTTTTAATTTCTTTGGTTTAGTTGTGTATCATTCATTCTTATATCTACTTTTGATGCACATATCTGTATTAATACATGTATAAAGGCTTTATATCCTTGATATTTTTCTTTTATGCATTTTCTTTACATACTATTTCTTTCACATACATGTATACTTCTATATATATTTCTTATTTTAGAAGTAGTAATTATAAAAATAATTCATGAGTTTTAAATATTTATGTAACATTCTTCTTCTAAAATTTTATAGAAATGAATACAATAAATAAAATTATGAAAATTCCTACTTTATTTCTTCTTCCAATATTTGTGCTGTTTTGAAAGCCATTAACTATTCACAAAAATAGAACAATTTAATTAATATGAAATATAAATTAAATTAATCGATAGGCATTTGATTTCTTATACAAACCTTACTCCACAAGATTTCCTTTCTTTCTCACAAATCTTCATTCCTTTAGTGCCAACCAAGGTCTATATCACTTGGATTCTTCCAATCTAATTTAAAATATATTTCTCATTATTTATCAATAAAAGAACGAGAATTGAAACACTTTTAAACTGATCACTTACCTTTCCTTAAGAAGGAATTTTCAATGTCTAATTCCTTCTTCTTCCTTCTCTCCCAAATTCCTTCCCCTTGCCTTCAATTCTTTCCTTTTCCTCTATGAAAAGTATCTCTAGTTTTAGATGAAATAAAACAAGATAATTTATACGAAAAAAGAAAGAAAAATTTAACAAACCTCCTTTCTTCTTCCTCTTGGTCATTCTTCTCGTTTACCGTCGTTTCCTCCCAAATCTCCGTTTCTTTAGCAAGGAGTTGAAAATTCTTATCCTCCAATGCGATTGATTGCTAAAATTGGCAAAATGGATCTCCAAATTCCTCGCGCGAGTTCTATTCCGCCATTCTGTTATGTTTGCAAAACTGCCCCTTCTATTTCGCGGGTTTAAAAGGGTTGGCCGATCGATTTAATTGAACTGGCCAATTAAACCGGTTATTACAATCTCTCTTATTAAAATTTCATTCTCGAAATTAAATCAAGTAAAAGAAAACATACCCTTAATTAAAGAGGTGAGGGTATTGACTTTTCTCTCTGCTTCTTCTCCCAAGTGGCATCTTTATTTGTTCCATGTTTCCATAGAATTTTCACAAAAGGTTTTGCTCAATTTCTTAGTTGTTTCATATCATAATCCAATATTCTTTTAGGTTCCTCAACATATCTCAAATCAGGCTGCAAGTCAGTTGATTTGGATTGAATTCTCTTTGACTCATCTAACACATACTTCTGAAGCACTAATATATAAACACATTATGAATTCCTTGCATATGCATTGTTAGATCCAATCTGTAAGCCATATTTTCAACTCTCTATGATTTCAAAAAGACCTATGAATCTTGGACTCAATTTTTCTGTCTTTCTAAACATTTGCGCATCTTTCTTTGGGCTGACTTTTAAGAAAACAAATTCTCCTACTTCAAACTCAAATGGTCTATGCTTTGCATCATAATACTTTCATTTCCTATATTGTACTGCCTTTAGTCTGTCTCTGATCAATCTGATTTTGTTAGTAGCATCATCTACTAGTTCAGTTCCAATTATTTTTCTTTCACCTGTTTCTAACAAGGTTTAAAATTGCGTAATTGGGTATTAATGTGTTTTTCGTTCATGAGGCGAGGTGTAAGCCTCAAGGCGTTTTGAGGCGTAAGCCTCAAAATCTAAAAATTGCGTAAAGTAAAAATTGACATTACCACAAACTCATAGTGGACATATCTGGTTCTGAAAGCTGTCTTTGTTTTATCATCCTCCTTAATGCGTAGCTGATGGTATCCAGAATACAGATTTATTTTAGAGATAATTATAGCTCCTTCTAGTTGGTTAAATAGATCATCGATTATGGGTAACATATATTTATTCTTAACAGTAAGCTTATTCAATTACTTATAATCTATGCACATTCTGAAGCTTTTATCTTTTTTTTTTTCTTTACAAACAGTATTGGAGCTCCCCATGATGAGGTACTTGGCCTGATAAACCCCTTATCTAATAATTCCTGCAATTGACTTTTCAACTCCTATAATTCTTTGACTGTTATTCTGTAAGGTGTCTTGCCACTGGTTTTGAACTAGGTATCAACTCAATAGTGAAATATATCTCTTTCTGGTGATAATCCTGACAAATTATCTAGAAATACTTTTGGATATTCTTTGATTACATGTATATCTTTTAACTCTTTAACTTCCTTATTTGTATCCTTTACATGAGCAAAAAAACACTGACATCCTTTGGATACAAATTTGCATGCCTTCATATAGGTGAGTATCATTGAAGAAAATTCTCTCCATAGAATTTCAATTCTATTTCTTCAAGGAAAATTAAATTTAAAATTTTTCCTATTGCAATCAATAATCACTAAGAGCTTTGATAATCAATCAATTCTCAATATCATGTCAAATTCTCGTAATGGCAAAACATTTATTGTTTCTTCAAACTCTCTTTCCTTTATTTTGAAAGTCACTTGACATACATCATTTATATTCACAGCAGACCCATTTAGCATCAAAACTTTCAAAACTGCATTTATTCTATAAGCATTCAAATTCATTGATTTAACAAATGTCTTTGAAATGGAGTGTGAAGCTCCTGTATCAAAAATGATATGTACAGGTTTTCTTGAATCGTTATCATATATATAAAAGTTACATTAAAAAAATAACATAAACATACATCATTCTTTTAATAATATTTTCATAATACATATTTATTCATTTTTCATTTTTTATCACCTGTAATCACTTCAGGTGAATCCTTAGCATCTTTTTGAGTCGGTGCATTTACTCTAGGCAGAATATTATGTTGGCTTTGACCTAGTCCTAGAGTAGAAGCAGTTGATTCTACTGTTCTTGGTCTTCCCGCATTTTTCTGATATCCTGTAGTTATCCTTGATTCTCCTGCTGGTTTTTTCCCCCAAAATAGGACAGTTCTTGGCTATGTGACCTGGTTAATGATATTTGTCATTTCTAAAACTTTAGAATTTTACCTGAAACTATTTATTTAGTGGAATGAGTTTACAAGTAAGCTCAGTGGATAACTATTAAAACAATTAACATGAAAATAAAATATACATTACATATAACCTTTAATATACTTCTTATTTATTTCCCTTATATGTATTTTATTCATTTTAATCAATTATGCATATCATATTACAGTTCTTGATAACCTTTATAGAGTTTTAATATTTATTTCTTTTGCTCTTTCATTTGTACAGAAGCACCGTCTTAATGTACTGAAGGTACAATCATTTTCATTTTTCTTTTTTTTTTTCACAACCTTTTCTTTTTTACGTGCACGGGTACATTGCTTCCCCAGACAGTACCATACGAGAGTGAACTACTATAATTTGCATGCATATCATTTTCCCTTTGATTTTCATTTTCTTTTTATTTCTTTCATTTACTTGTATATCATTCCACTACAGGAAAACCCGTTAATACCGGCGGACAAC